CCGCATCGGGCTCTGTGCGGACAGCTCAGAACCTGGAGCCTGTTTCAGATTCTGTGTCTCCCTCTTTCTCTGACCCTCCCCTGTTCATGCTCTCTCTCTCTCTGTCTCAAAAATAAATAAATGTTTAAATAAATAAATAAATAAATAAAATAAAAAAATAAAAATGACAATATTTTAGTTTTAGTGCTAAATTACGTAAATAATCTTTATACAACACAAATCTTGTGATTTCAAAGATAATATACCTTTGAACCAAACTGATGTAATTATGCAACAGAGTACAAATATGCAACTGTGGAGTAATTAGTAAAAAGTATGGACTCTGGAGGCAAAAAGATCGTGGCTTGAATTCCAGGTTCCCTATTTCCTAGTTAAATTATGCAGGGTGAGTTATTTAGTTCTTTGGCTTTAGGATCCACACCATCAAAATGGAAATGCTGATACTTAGATCCTTGCAAAGGTGTTCTGAATAGTGAGCGAGATAAAGTTTGTGGTTATTTTAAGAATTGATGAGGGAGCTCCTGGGTGGCTCAGTTAAGCATCCAACTTCGGTTGAGGTCATGATCTCATGGCTCATGAGTTCAAGTTCATGTCAGTCTCTGTGCTGACATGTTTACCTCTTTTTCCTTAAGTAAAGCTTCGTGTTTTTCTTCAAGCCGCTTCATTTCAAATGCTAGTGTATCTGCCCTTTTGGATTCAGAGGAAAGTTTATTGTGAAGATCTTGAACCTTTTGTCAAAAACGAGAGTATATAATATTAATAGTTTTTCAGAGGTCAATAAATGAGAAACTGATTGGAAATAAAACTTAGACTAAGAATATAATCTAGTAATCCTCAATAGTTGTGAAAATAGCATGTGGATAAAAGTTAACATAAATTTTAAAATACTCAAATAATAATTTAATAAAAAAATCATTCTTGTACTCTAATGTTTCTCTAGGTTGCTTGATAAATAGCTAAACAGAATATTACTGGTTATAGCTCCATTCTCTAGGCAATTATTATTAGTTACCAGAAATGCTAATAATAAGCAGTAAAATGCCTCCCAATATATACAAGCTCAGAAGAGAATAAGAAGGGGAAAGACCTAGATAACTCAAACTCAACTATCAATCCTGGAATTAAAATTACAGGTAGGAGAAATCTGTCATCATAATAAGCTCACAGCTGGTTATAGGCAATGTTCTTCACCTCTCTAACATTCTTAAAGTATCAGAAGGAATAAGAAAGTTGAGCTCTTTCAGTTACAATGATTAAAAAAAATTGACATATTTTCTTACCTGCCTCTTGTACGTTTCTAATTGTGTGCGTGCTGCATTTGCCTTCTTTAATTCTTCTTCTAAGCTGACTGTGTTATGCATATACATCATGTTTGTTTCTTGTAAAGTTTTCACCTGCTTGCGAAGGTCATTCAGATCTTGTAATTTCTGACGATACATCTCGACCGTTGATTCTAGTTTATTAGCTTTATCAGAGGTAGCCCTATAATAAAGCTACATGTTACTGGGTAAAAGCTAGTAAACGCACATAACATTTCTATTCTGGCTCTAAAATTAGTCAGCTAGATAAACTATCAATTGGCTGAAACAACAGAAAAGAAAATCGGACAGACAGCAAAAGAATTAAACTGTGTGAGAACTTTAGAAAAAGACTCAAGTCCAATGTGGAACCTTTTTGTTATAAAGGTATCAAAACAAAAATGCCTTAAATTTGACACACTAAATTATCAAACCGTTTCATACAGCACAATGTCTAAAAAAGAATGGTTTTGTAAATGTAACTGAACAATTCCAAGCTTCTCTGAAGCTTACAGGCCAATTGTGCTTTGTGTTTAACATTTAGTGCAGTTTTATTCTAAGTATTTGATATACTTAGGCAGTTGACTTATAATTTGTTTGACAAAGCACATCCCTTTAGAGTTGTGCTTACCTGGCCAACTAGAGCAAAAATAAATACATAAACCAAATCACTTTCCATCACATGCAAGTTCAAATGAATGGTAGGAAGATTTTGTTTCAAATGGACATAAAAACTGGGCAACAAAATGGCTAATTAAGAAAATTTAACAGAAAAGGCTCAGTAGGTTGAGGGTCCGACTTCAGCTCAGGTCATAATCTTGCAGTTCCTGGGTTCAAACCCCATGTCGGGCTCTGTGATGACAGCTGAGTCTGGAACCTGCTTCGGATTCTGTCTCCCTCTCTCTCTCTGCCCCTCCCCTGCTGATGCTCTGTCTCTCTCTCTGACTCTCCAAAGTAAATAAAACATTTAAAATTTTTTTTTTTAAAAAGAAAATTTAACAGAAAATATAAAGAGCATATGGATAGTCTGTTTGCTTGA